GTATTTTAGATATCAAAGGCTTTAAAACTACTCGTACCATGCCATGTATCTGTTAAATTGTAAAATTAATTATTAATTGAACTAGTAAAGTATAATAATAACAATGCTTGTTGTTTGTTTAACACAATATTTACCTGAAAATCTCTTATTCCTCCCTTAATTCCTCCCAAAACAAAAGTTATATCACAATTACCAGCATAACTAAAATAAAAATAATCTATTGTAGAAAGTTATCAAAAAAAATTAAAATAATAATTATGATTACATACAATATATCCATATCCATTATGACTTCATTCCTATCAACATTTCGATCATATACTTTAACACCACCAATTCTGGGAGGCTGCAAAATAAAACAAAGTTTAAAACTTAAATCTTGCCGCAAATATATTAATTTTTTAATAATACTCACAATAGTTCCAAGAATTAAACGATCAAATTTAAAGCCATGGAGTTTGTATTTAGCAAGAGCAGCAGCAACGGAAGGTTCAATACTATCTTTTATTAGGCCACGAGCATAATGGTTCACATTAGGCCAGACTTGTCGAAGAATCTAAAACAATAATATTGATAAATTTATTCAAAATCTAGTACTCAAAATCTAAATATATAGAATCTTACCCTATTTAACCACTCAGCTCTTTCAATATCCGGAAAAAATACCTAAAAGAATGTAATGAAATTAATATTCAAATTACTAAGTGTTATCCAACAGAATTAAATACATAAAATATTTTCATGTGGCTTTAAACAATTCTTATATTATCATTATACTTGCAATTGTAATTTAATATATTAGCACTAATGTTAATTGTTGATTAAAACTTAAAAAAGCATTTTTTCAATCTATAGCTTATAAATCTATTTACCCAAGCTGGTAAATCATCAAGCCGAGCTAAAATCACATCTTTTTCACTTGCTAACGCTGAAGCTTTGGCAATATTTCTCCTCATATCACTTTCCTTCCGCCACTCGTCACGAGCAACAGAAAGAAACAGTGGAGCTAGTAAAAAGATTGATTTATATAAAAATGTTAAATTATTAACTTTTAATATGTTTGAATGCTTACAATAAAATATAGCAAAGTTCATTATCTTTATTGATACTTGAATGACTTTCAACCTAATTTAGCTTTTACTAAAATATAATAGAAATAAAAACAAATGGTTATACCTATTAGCCATGCCACAGACCAGCCCATATACCCTACAAAATAAACAGTTCCAACGACAATAATCTTTTTCGCTAAGGAATAAATCCATGATCCCACAGAACCATAAGATCCAACATGTGTTGAAGGTTTGGACGGATCCAATTCCTTACTAGCACCTGCCATATCTTCTTCACTATAAATTATAATAATAATAATAATTATGTTCATTAATTTAATTTAGAATTTGTACAAATTGTCAGCATTTATTTGAATATTTCTCTAGGCAAATATAATAAATAATATCAGATTTAATTTATATGAATGAAAGTGTGCATTAACAAGACTTGAAATCTATTGATAAATTGAAATATAATAGATCCGATGTGATATGTTATTCACAAAACATAATACTTATTTGATTGTTCAATGACAACTTATAATCATCGAATCATAATAAAGTGGTCTTATATATAATGAAAGCAATTATGAAATGTAATTTTAAAATATTATTTAAAAACTTTAAGAATATAGTTTTTTAAGTAGTTCATATTTGTTACAATCGACTAATTAGAAAAAGTAATTGGTAAACGTCTTATCAATGATGATGACATATAATGAGAATCTATAAAAAACCAAATTAAAAAGCTATATAAAAAAGAAATGATATAATTATAAAATAATTTAAAAATAATTTCAAATTATAGATGCCAATCAAATGTGATTTATAGATGAACATAATAGAATGTGTGCTACTACACCCTGGTATAGTTGAAGGTTTTGTGCAAATAAATGTTTTTATAATAAACTAATAGATATAATATATAATAAAATATTAAATTGTACATATATATATATATATATATATATATAATAATAATAATCATATATATATATATATATATATATATATATATATATTGTATGTTTCGACATACAATTTGATGTCATCACCAGTAGATCCATAAGTTAAAAATTAAAAAAATTATATAAACTAAGGTAACTATAATTAAGAATTAATAAGAATTCTTAAGAATTATAATTTTGTGAAGAAGCTATAAATAGAAGATAAAAACTAAGAAATATCAAAACAACAACACTTATCAAATTAAAGAGAGAAAATAGAATAATAAAATAAAATTTATATATATATATATATATATATATATATATATATGATGTGTCTGCATTGTAAGACCTTGAATAAGAATATATGACATTTGAAATGTTAGCAAAGGGCTGACAAAGCACAATGGGGACAGACGTAAAACGTTGACAAAACAATAAAAATCGTACCTCATTTTGGCGAAACCAAATCTCAACAAATAACTAAATAATAATCACATAAAATGGTAAAACATAACCTCTCTTGTAACCAAGTGTTTAGTAAAATAAAATTTTGGAATATATGCACCCCACCTTAGTTATACCAATCAACAATGAATAATATATTCTATAGTTTACTCATGACCAATAAATTCAACATTCCAACACGTCTAGAAAATTAATATTTCGTTCCCAAAGCAATCTTTGACAGCGATACAACAAATCGACTGATAGCCATAGCCTTTACGTATGTGTGAATCTCGTTAGATTCCGTCGTTCGTAGCGCATTACGTCATGAGTTATATTTACAGTTTTATAAACAAGATTCTTAATTCTTGTTTAGTATGATTCACTTAAACTTGTAAAATGATAAAGCAGATCAAATAAAGATTATAGCACCATTTTGTTTCCGTTATCACTGTAAAATTATTTGTCTTATCAATTGTAAAAATGCATAATAATCCACTTATGAATGAATCATATCTTAATTTTCTGAATTAACTTATTTATTTTTGACTTACATTTTGAAAATTCACAATAATTTAAAAATCAAATATCATATCGTTATAGTTTTAACAGTTCTGTATGAATTTAACGAGTCCTGTAAACCGTTATTAATGAAGTTGGCTTTTAAAAGTTGGCAACCCTAAGGGTAGCCAAATATCCGTGTTGTGAAGTTAGTCATAAATGATTATTAAAATTTTTGTGATAAATTTAAATTAATGGGTAAAAACGGAATTTTTCAAAATTTGATCCCAATTTTTGGGTCAATGCACGGGACATTAGAATTCATTTCAGAGGTATGGTATTTTTCAGAAAAGTATTTTAGTTTGATCCCCAGTACCCAAAAATCATATATGCCTATGCGACTTTTTTATATATTTTTTCACCAATAGCACTACTGCTTGACATCAAGATGCACAGGCGGTTATTTAACATGGAATTTTTGATTCCAGTCTGGGTAGCCTACACAAACTCCTATAATAATATCAGATCAAATAAATCGCGTTATCACTATAAAATTATTTGCTTTCTTATCAATTTGTTGAAATCCGCCGATGATCTAATGCTGTGATAATAAATCAATTACCAATTTATTGAATTACTTTATTAATTTATGTATTACTTATTCTGAACATTATCATTATTTGTTCTAAGTAAAATAATTTTTGAGACTTACACACTATTCTTTTTGTTATCTTCTATATATATAAAAAATAAGTCGGGTTTTCCTTCCTGACGAAATAACTCCAGAACGCACGAACCGATTTCGACAATTTTGCATTCGTTGGAAAGGTCTCGGGCTCCGCAAGGTTTATAGCTAAGAAAATTAGTGGTGCATGGCATCGTACCTTAATGCAAATTGCTGGAACTTCACACACCGTAATTAATATTTCGAGTAATAAAAATAATCAATAATTGTTTTAAATAATTGCAAATAGATTATCTTCTATATATATATAAAAATAAGTCGGGTTTTCCTTTCTGATAAAATTTTTTCTTTTCAAATATAAAACAAACAAATAATTTCTTCATTTTTCTCACGAAACCATCTGGTGGCGAAACGGAGTTCGTCGGGTTTGCTAGTCAGTTTATATAAATTTACAAAGATTTCCAAAGATGGTCTGCATATGGGGCCGATATATTTATTTAAGATATATGATATATCTAATATATTAGATATCTAATATATTAGAATATAAATGTCAGAAAAAATTATCAGCCACAAAATCACCGCACGCAACGATAATTATTTTTCATAAAACATAACCCAAGCTATGTATAAAAATGTTTTTCTTCAATATTTAATAAGCATTTACTTTCCAATTCCATTCTTTCAAAATAGAACTACAATCCAATTTTCACTGAGCAATTGGAGAAACAACAGACTTATTGGATTAAAGTATTGAACATATGAACAAATGCTCTATATAGTAAATAGATATAGTAGGTTCAACGCAATACAATTTTTTATATCTACTTCAATCTATATATATATATATATATATAATATATATATATATATATATATATATATATTCAGTATTTTATGAAATATATTTCCAATAATTGAAAAAATTTCAAAAAAATATGGGTTTATATATAAGCTTATTTTGATTCTGGTAACATATTAGCAACTTTCTCTCGTAACCAATAATGGACTCAATTTCAAAGAATATTTAATAAATTAATTAAATTAATTAATATCTTAATTAATCATAGAAATAAAACAGTTTTGAAAGTAATGGATTTGATTTACTTATATTTCTTATTTTTATCACAAAATCGATCATTATAGCTTGACCTTGCAAAATTTAAAAGATTTCACAAAGCCATCCCCCAATATATATATAGTACAAAATACGGAAGCTACTAATATATCATAGGTCAGATTGAGAAAATCGGATTAGAATTAATCTAATTAACTTCAGAAGGATTCGAAAATTTACAAATAAGATTGTACTTCTGTAAAAACAGAACTCGCTCATTGTCAGTTCAGTGTTTGGCCAAGTTACCAAGAATGGAAACCACAGCTACCGGCGTGGTCCAATACGGGCCCGAATATTCGGCCTACAAATGGGATCGTTTCAATGCGGACCCGTGGGCGAATATGACCGTAGTTGATAAGGTAAACTTTAAATCTAATTCCTCAATCATACTTATTTTATGTACATTTGTTTGTATCAAGTATTTTCTAGAAATGGCTTTAATGCAATGCATGTAACGTTTGCCTAAAACTGAATATTTGGAGGCATATGTTATATTGAGTTGTATTGAACCAAATAATATTATTGAGATAAGTTCAAAATCAATCGCTTATTTAATTATTGTTTATCTATTTATATGTATCTAAAAAAATACTATTATTTTGAGGTCCCGCCGGAAATTCTGCACATGGTAGATGTCCACTGGTACCAGTTTCCTCCAATGAATCCTATGTGGCATAGTATACTAGGTTTTGTTATTGGTCTCCTCGGCATAATATCATTTATAGGAAATGGAATGGTTATATACATTTTTACTAGCACTAAGCAGCTGCGAACTCCTTCAAATCTATTAGTGATCAATTTGGCTGTGTCCGACTTTCTGATGATGTTCTGGATGTCACCACCGATGGTTATAAATTGTTACTACGAAACTTGGATACTAGGCAAAATGATTTATAAAAAGTCAAACTGAAGATTTGCTCTATAATTTATATAAAAATTTATTTCCAGGGCCCCTAATGTGCGAACTTTACGGTATGTTTGGATCGCTCTGTGGATGTGTTTCAATTTGGACAATGACTATGATCGCTTTTGATCGATATAATGTTATAGTAAAAGTAAGTGGGGTAGCTTTAACTGTATTTTATATCATTTTTTAAAACCAATAACTACATAGGGTCTTGCCGCCAAACCATTGACGAATAAAGGGGCAGTTTTGCGGATCCTATTAGTTTGGATATCTTCTGGTCTATGGGGAATTGCACCTTTCTTTGGTTGGAACAGGTAAAAAATTCGAATTAATGAATAACAAATCGACTATTTCATTAAAAGCAAGTTATCAATTAGTTCTATTCTTCTTTAGGTATGTTCCCGAAGGCAATATGACAGCTTGTGGAACTGATTACTTGAATAAAGACTGGTTTAGCAGATCATATATTTTAGTGTACTCGGTTTTTGTATATTACTTACCTCTATTTTGTATTATATATTCCTACTTCTTTATAGTGCGAGTAAGGGACCTAAAATAATTGTTAAAGTATGAATATTAAATAAATATTAACAAATATTTGTTTATAGGCAGTTGCTGAACACGAAAAAAGCATGAGAGAACAAGCTAAGAAGATGAAAGTAGCTTCTCTTCGATCTTCCGGATCTGGTGCAGGCGCTAGCGACAAAAGTGCAGAATTTAAATTGGCCAAGGTTGCTCTCATGACTATTGCGCTTTGGTTCTTTGCATGGACACCATACTTGGTAAAAAATAATATTTATTATGAATTATTTATTTTAAATAATTACTTACTTTAACAAAATTTATTTAGGTAATCAACTATACTGGAATTTTTGAAACTTTTACAATCAGCCCATTGGCAACGATTTGGGGCTCCTTATTTGCTAAAGCAAACGCTGTCTACAATCCGATAGTTTATGGAATCAGGTTAGAGAAATTATTTATATTAAAGTTCAAAATTTAAATATTCAACTACATTATTTAATTTTATAGCCATCCTAAATATAGAGCAGCTCTATTCAAGAAATTCCCGTCATTAATGTGTGCTCCAGAACCACAACCAGAAGTCGATCTACAATCACTAGCTTCCGGAGTAACAGCTGTTTCGGAATAATTCTTTGCTCGATTACTAATATTAACATTGGTTTTATAAATAGAGTAAAGGTACTTGAAATTATTTTTGGAATGGGCATCTTGAACTATTTCGCTGAAGCTTAATTCGCCGTCAAAAACATCAATATACGGATTTCAATATGTTTAAAGATCAAAACGTAATAAACGTCCGACTTAAAAAATTTGCTAATTGAAGTTCACATTTCCACATTGTAAATAATCAACGGTTAATCGACACCAATTTAATGATTTTTTTCACTATGAATAATAATTGGTCTAACTGCCAAAATTATATTCACAATGGTAGGGTTAGTGTCCATTTAAACTTCGTCATGCGATACAATATTTTAATTAAAATGCATATAATTTTAAAGTCTTGCCTTAAAATTTTTTGAATAAAATATCACTAAAGATTTTAAATATACATTACGTTGAATTCTAAATAAGACCTAACTTATTAAGTATTTTCAAACGTTTGTATACAATAAATACGTTTCTTATTAGCAAATAATTAACAGTAATTATATGTTACGCGTGATTTTACATGAATTAGCAATTCAATTAGTTAGTACAATTTTTTTGAAAATAATTCTGTAAAAATATGAAATATATTAGGAATGTATGGTATTACTAATAAAGAATCTACAGAATCATGATCAATATGCATTTCTATTTCAGCATTTAAATATATACATTTTTTCATATAAATAAAAATAAAAATAAAAATCGTTTAATTTACATGCATGTATTCATTATCTGACATAGGGAATGAATGAATGAATGAGGTCATTTTCCTTTCCTTTCATAGTGGTTGGTACAATTGCGATGTTCCGCATTTCCGTCTGTTTTGTCATATACTGATAACGTAATATCCGCACGCCTTGCATTGCTTGGCATGCGACGTTGAACACGTGACAGGCAAACAGTAAATTGTTTTTTGGCTGGATTTTAACAGCAAAATGCATAAAAAGTAACGAATAACCGGTAAGAGCTGTCAAGAATGCATTTTACATGGTAAATTCTTATTTCAAACTAATTGTATAAAAGTTAAGAATATACCTATAGTATTTGCCGGATTAACATTTTCTGCACTCTCATGGTAAATATGGTAAAGAGTTCCTATTGGTAAAGTAAACGTCAGCGCTGGCGCCCAAAAATGTGTACTAGAAATAAGTGATGAATCACAAATAATTTAGTAATAAATTTATTATAATATATATGTACCTTAGAAAATATTCTGTATATTTTGGGGTCAAAATGATTTAAAAAATATTTAATACTGTTATATATTAATAAACTTTTATATCAAATACATGAGCTTTGCTTTTGTTTTTTCAATGGCTATTTTTGATAAAAAACAAATTTAATTTGCATAATAAAAATGTAATAAAACTGAGTAAAACATATAAGATATAGAATTTATTATATATAATTATATATTGAAATCTGGTATTTATATATATATACAATGAGCTCTAGTTTATAAAGTTTACACCATTCAAAGCTGTTTGTAAATGCTTTACAAACAAATTCATATAATGTTTCCATCTATCTCATATAATGAGCATAACCTCAAAAAATTGTGACTTAAATTTTCATTCCATAAATCTTTTAAATTAAAATATATTAGACTAGTTTTAAAATAAACCATAATAGAAATAGTCAAAATTGCTTTTTATAAAAATATGTGGATAACAGTACGTTACAAAAATTATTATAAAAAATATAAAAATAAAAGCAATTTTTGATACACGATCATCAATTATGCTACATAAATTCTTGATTAGATGTTGATATGCCACTGGCTTCTTCATAGCCAGTTTTAGTGTCACTTTTATTTCTGGAAGATTTTTTTTCCTTTTTATGTTTACTATGAGAGTCTTTGCCATTCTTATGGGTAGATTTTTTAATGTCCTTTGAATTATCTTCCTTAGCCGCTTTTGATTTTTTAGGTTTGTCAGACTTGGATTTATGTTTTTTCTCTCACTATTCTCTGTAGTTTCCAGGAATGTTTCCTTTTTATGTTTTTTAGGTTGTTTTGTAGCAGGCTTAGTTAACGTAGGAAGCAATTCATCCTCACGCAATGGTCTGCAAACACAATTAGTCTACTATTATATTTGTAATTGGCATAGAAAATAAAATATAAATAAACTAAAAATCCAAATATGAATTTATATAAGTTTTTAATATATTTAAAAAGACTAATCACTTATGTTAAATTTGAAGAATTTCTGTAATATCAGCTAGAGTAAAGCTTAGTATTTACACATTCACCACAAACAGATACTACATAAACTTACATGTCTAAATCTATATCCAACGCTCTATGAGGATCAATAAAATCATGTTTAGATAGATTTTTATCTTCAGAGTCTGACAATATAGCTCCTTCTGGCATTTCAATAGTTGTATTCACAATGTGTACTTGTTTAGTATCTAAAAATCGGTTAGTTGTTATGAAATTTGTTTCTAGAAATTTATTCATTATTTTATCACCTGTATTTTCATCACTTTCACTCGAAGTATAATCTACTTTTGTTTTAGTTTTATTCTTCTTAGATTTCTTGTTTTTCTTCTTTTCAGATTTTTTTTCTGATTTCATTTGTAAATATTTATCTGAACGTTTTGTTGATGTAATTTGTAAAGGCACGTCTAATGCTAATTCCGCTATTGGAATTGTCTCCACTTCATTTATCAATGATGAGGAATCATTATATACAACTCTATTGTGTCTATTAGCCTTTTTATAAGAAACATTTGTTGAAGAGCCTTTAAGATAATGAGGATTATTGCTCTGTTCAAACTTCCGCATTTCACGAATCTATATTTTAACAAATCATATATTTTAGCAATTAGCCTAATCATTGTTAAAAAAATTACGATTATAAATATTATCACTGAAATTAAGTACCTTATTAATTTCCTCGGGATCTAGTTCCTTCTCCTGTCTCTTACTTGTTTGATACCCATCATCTAATTTATTATTGGCAGTAAATATATCTGTGCATTCATCTGATGAAGATGAACTGCTTTCACTAGGTGGGTTCATTTATCCACTCATCCAAATCCAATCTTAATTAAAATAAAATAAGTAAATAAAATAAATCAAAATAACAGAAAAATGCATATTATATTATTATTACCCTTCTGGAATTTGAACTTTTCTTTGAGCCTTCAATGCTACTGGATTTAACTCGCCTTTAAATAAAGATGAAACTTCCTTGATAATCTCAAAATCAACCGACAAATTTTCTGTTTCGGTTTCAAGTTCACCATTTGTGATACTTGTTGATACCAAATCACTAGTTACAATTGAATTGGCTTCTTCTGGATTTTTTCCCAGAAGCACATCTTTAATATATTGCACTAACATGATTGCCGAACTTGCACGTTCTTGAACTTCAATATGTCCAGACATTAAATAAATAGGCAGACCCTCCATGGTCTTATCACATAGCTGAAAAAATCAATATGATTTTTTAATCAAATATTTTTTTATTCACTAACAAGTTCAGTACAATTTCTTGTCTAATAGACTCTCATAAATTTATAACCATTAGAGATTTCTTTAGTACCTTTATCATAGCTGCTTTATCTCCACTTTCAGCATACTTGTCAAATAAATTTGATAATATTTTTATAATATTGTGAATATAAACTGCTGTAATATGTCCAGGAAGGGTTCTTTGTTTTAAAAGTATATCAAGAACATCTTCAGGAGATTCTAAATCACTGATAAAAAAATACATAATTAATTCACAAAATTAGTAATTATTTTAATAATGCAATGTTTATATACTTAGAAAATTCTCCAACTATCCATGCTGCAGCATAAAGAACTTCTGACATATTTCCTCCACTAAAATAAAATAATATTTAAAAAATAAATATTGAACATAATTTTATAGCTTTGTTACCTCGTGCTCGAAATGACCATGGTAGAAATTAATGAAGACATTTCTTGAACAGCAAACTTGCGAACAGCCTGAACTCTAATCGCAACATCTAATATCTGTGTTGCAATTATTTTACCTGAAACATTCAATAGATTTTAATCATTCTAAAATTTATAATGTTATTAACAGAAATTTATAGAAGGCATACCATGTTTCGAACCAGAATCTAATTGGGTCAGTTCCACTAATACTGTCAAATACCATTCAAAATTAGTCACATATTGATATGAACCCTGTGAGCAAATTTCTATAACTTTGCATAATAGTTCATCTCTATATGTTGAACCTTCAGCACGTTCCATATGACCTAGCAATCTTTTCACAATTTCCATCAAGTTTTTCTTTGAAACCTTAAATACAAAATCATTAAATTAATATTAAAAAAGTACAAAAACAAAATATAACAAATACTATAAGTAACCAAATATACAACTGGCAATTAGATTCTTATTAGATTACCATTCCATGTAATAAATCCAATGCCCTTAAGCGAATTGACTCATCTTTATCATCTAAACAAGCAAGAATTAAATCCTTGTGAGCTTGAACACTTTTAGGATGTGTTTTCAAAATCTTAGACATTGCCAGCAATCCAAGATATTTCACTAAAAATATTCAAAAATATTATTCTTTCATTTTAATATTATATGTTAATACCTACAATTCTGATCAGAATCTTCAATTAATATTCTCAATTTTTGTACACAGAGCTGAATCGCAGCGGAATGGTTAGGCATGCCACTTGAGATGGATATTAGAACTGCTATTACAGTATTTATGCATTCGTAAAGAAGACTCATTGCAGATGTGCTGTAAAAATACAAAAAACATAACAATCATCTTATACTATACTCATTCAGTGAAATAAATTGAAGAAGTTAAATTTACCTGTGAATTAAATTAGTGAGAGGTTCTATTAGTTTTTTTCCTAATCGAGGTTCCAAAGGAGTTAGTGCCCCAAACTTCAGAAAAGAAAACCATGATTTAAAATCTATTTTGAGGTTATTATAAAATGACTGAGAAGTTATTCTTACCAATTTAATTATTTTATAAGCATCCAATTATTTGTTGATGTTGTCATCAACTTGAAAAACACAGGTGCTAAAGATAAATAGTTTTTTGGATTTTTACGAGCTAGCTCACAAACCACATTTACAGCAGCTGATTGTACTCCTATTTATATTCAAAAGCAAATATCATAATTTGTTTTAAAGCTTAAAGAATTATTTTAAAATAATCCTAAACATAAAAAATATTTGTAATCAATAAATGTGAAAGACAAGTTCAAATAAAAATACATAATGTAGCAATGTAATAATAATCTTACCAGGATCTGGATCTTCCAATTTTTCTTTTAATTTTGGAAAAGCAGGCCTTAAAGCTTCTGGAAACCTCAAAAATACTTTATACATCATCAATACAGCTTTCATTC